TAAATAAATACATGTGGTGGCGTACTTGTCATACCAAAAAATTACTCCATAATAGAGGCAAGTGACGGTATGATTCGAGTCAAGAATCATTGTTTCCCATTTTATGAGATTATCAACTTTTGTTTCTGATTCTCGTACGGAGATTGAATTGTGATGAGAATGAACCAAACTGACATGAAAAGATACAAATATAGTTCATTGACGGTTATTAATTAGAACGGATAAACATAGCATAAGTTTTCATCGAATCTGTTGGATCAAAGACACAACCTGGTTTTGCCAAAGTATCCAAGAGTCCAAAGCAGCCTGGATATAATAATCAAAATCTTAAACATATAATTATAGTGTACAACTTTTTTATATAACAAAAATAGCACAATTATTACCCACTGGGAATTGAATAATCCTTAAACTTACTCTCTATCCTTGTACTTACTGAGTTATTGGGAGGAGCACTAACAAGTTCAACCTAATTGCCATTAACATGTGTAAGAAAGTTTTGTTATAAGGGTAAGAGAGAAAAAGAATGCAATACTCTCATGCTGAGCTAAATGAAGGGAGCAGCAACAGGGAAAATTAGCCAAAATATTTTCACCCATTTTATGTTTCCAAAAAACCCACATAGAAGCTGTCTCCACAAGCAGCCTTCAAAGAGATTCCCAAGTAAAATGATTGGCATTGCAGCAGGCCATTCAAGGTGGGCATCAAAATCACTGCACTAGTTTATTTGGTGTCTGAGATCTTCTGAGCCCATCTGAGATTTCTGTCAGACAAGCATGGGGATGAGGTTGAGACATTTTTATCCCAAAGTGTGAATGTGATGTGGTGGTCGTTCATGGCTTTTCTTTGCTTGTGGGGGCCTGTGCATCCTTTTCCGATGCTCCTGGGTTTGTGTTCCTCAGTGGCATGTCATGATTGTGCTTTCCCTCGTATGTTGTGATAAAAGCTTTGGGATCGTCTGAGACTCTTTCGACATGCTTACGCACACTGCATTTGAGACTGGTGCATCTATAGTAACTTCTGCACGATAGAAAAAAGCCAGATGGTGTGAGCTCAGACAGACAGGTGATACTCATGCAAGAGGATTATTAGGCTTGTTCTAAGAGGTCTGGATACATTGACTAAAAGAGAGAAAGAATAGTCTTTCTCACCTGGGATATGGATTTCCCTTAACAACCTTCTGCCCATATTTCCTCCAACGGAAGCCATCACCCGTCATATCAGAATCTACAGAACTTTGCACCACAACACGGGGATCTGGCACACCTTCTCCTGATATGCCCCCTTCATTCGATTGATTCTCGCTTTTTCTAAATGACAAAGCATAGGTAAACATCGTCAATGACATTAAACTTGAATAGATAAAATTATGATAGAAATGCTCATTAAGAATGAAAGAATCAAGATACTTCGAAAGCATATTTAATCCATGCGGTCAACGTCAAGCACAGAGAAGGGAAGAGGCAAGAAAATGGATACAAACTAGCATACAACCATAACCATGATAAGCAATCATCGTTTTGTTTCAAATGTTAAGGTGCACTACCTTTCTCAGCTAAAACATGCATTGCTAATCTAAAGCATAGGCCTTTGATTTTCATCTACCTGCTACTGAATGGTCTTACCTTCTTTTACTTCTAGGTTCATAATCCTCTGCTTCAGGTCCCTTGCTTCCTTCCTCACATTCTCCACTAAGACCACAAGAATTATCAGGTGTTCCACCACCCGCATTTATTCCTCCACTTGCAAGAGGATCATAAAGTAGTGGAGCTTTACTTTGATAAGAATGCACAGGTAATCCAGCTTCATTCTGATCCTCTACTCTACCTTCAGAACCTTCATTCCTTTCATTAAGTTGACTATTCCATAACCGGTTGTTGGTATCTTGACCGGTTCCATTAGATGCTAAGCCTAAACCTTGCGTCCCCGATGAGCTTTTCTTTGGAGGTTGAGGTTTTGAGTGGTTGTGTTCACCCTTGTAGACAATCTCAGCAATCTGTCCATCCAAAGATCTCTCAACCTTCTTTTTCACAGGACAATTTGGATGAGTGCACTTATAGTAACTTCGCGGGTACTCACTTCCTTTGACCTGCTTTTGTCCATATTTTCTCCAATTATACCCATCATAAGAAGGCCTATCAGTATTGGCTGTGGACGGTATAGGTTTTGGATCCTCTTCCATGTTTTGTGATGCTATCTTCAAAGGCTCTATTGTCTGATTTGTCTCAGCACATGATGGATTATTATGGCGCAGATTTGGGCTAAGTTGGGATCTAAAGCATTTATCTTGATTTTGATGTAGAACACCAGCCTCGACTGATGATTGTGTAGATTGGTGGCTGGTATTGAAGTTTCCCTGGTAACATTGAACCAAAAAAACGAGAAGTTATTTTCCAAATTTGAGGTTAAAAAGTTTCACCACATTTTCCAAGTTCATGTCCTTAACACATTTATTCTACATACCACAGATAATACTCAGAAAAATCACATTTATTACCAGGAAAGTCACATTTATTCAGTTAAATTACAAACATACAATATCTAGCTACTGACCATATTTGCCAAGACAGAAACAGTTGCCCTTGATACAACTTTTGCCAACGGTTTGTATACCACACTTGCTCTGCTGTCTGATTTTGAGATCTTCTCTGATGAATTACTATGTGCAGTACCAGACATCTCTGCCTGAAATTTATGGGCACCAACACTCAGAAGGAAAGAACTTTTCAAAAGGGACAAGCATTTAGTAGAATTAAGGTCACCTGGGAAGAAACCAATCCAGAGACAGCATGATTCACCGTTGGCTTGAACCTCACAGTCTTTGGTCTGATGGCAGGAACAGCAGTTTCAGAAGATATATTAGAAGGAGAGGCATCGATAGCTCCTGCAAGAAGCTCCGTGAAGGACCTAAAGCTTGAACAAGTAGGCCTTGAGGCAACTGGTTTAGCTATAACTACCCGCTCTGCCTCCTTAATATCCATTTCCAAATGATTATGTTATGTTCCAACTAGGTGTTTTTGGTGCATGGCATACTATCATGAGATACAGGAGAACATCAAAGTCCCATCATCTTATGCCTGGAATATACTCTGTATATTTCCCTCCAGAAATCAATAAAAAGTTACGACAATGTCAGGAGGCCAAGCTTGACATGGATTAATAATTAATTGGTGCTCAGCTGCTATTACACATGTTGGCTCCAGATGTACAAAGCTCAATCTACTTCAACCTGCATGATACCAGGATCATGACATGAATTAGTAAACTAACGAGAAGATGAAGAACCAAAGGAATTTTTAAGAGTACAGCATTCTTCTAAATTACAAGACATTGAAAGGTTAAACTTTGGCTTAATGCATTCATTATCAATCAGACAAAATGAGCCTTAGGCTGCATTGGGGAATTGGATTGGCAGATTAGAAAATAGTCTCAGAAAAATCCCTCCACTCTCATATTTTTGCTGCCATTACTTTCAAGGTAATGCATCATTTGAGTAGGGCAGGCAAGCGCACAAATTGCCACACAAATGTGTTCTTTAACTTCATGGGATTGGGAATTATTCCCATCAAAGTAATGAAATAATTGATCAAGGTTGCATTTTAAGTCAAGGAACATTTCTAAAATTTAGTCCACCTCTCTATTATCATAAAGCAGATTACGTGCTAACAACTAGACACAACGCCAAAGCACTCACATAATAGACAAAACAAACAGCGATGACTGAACAGAATTAGCAATAACCAATATTGTTTCCTGAATACTCATCTGGGTCTCTGAAATGTCATTTTCAACTTTTCTTTAAAATCTAGCCATGGTTGAATAAAGAATGTAGCTTTTTCATAAAGATCTTTCTTTGAACTTGTATTTCACCATTCATGAAACTGTTTATCAAAACGAAAAACATAGAAGTGTATCCCCTTTTAAAATTTTGAAATATTAAAAAATCAGTGTATTATCCAAGTTCACATCTTCAAGCAGGCATAATCTTGTTCATCTGCTTCCTATTCAGGCATATATAAATTCCCATAGCAAACACAAGTACAAAATTGATAATTTCTCCATAAATTCCCATTACAAACAACCACTTAAGATTTTCTGAAAGAAACCGTCGGAACCATACAGTTAAAAGTCGGAGCAATTCTGATAGTTTTTCTTCAAAAATCATATATTGAACCACAAATCAAGTCATGACATGTAACTTTTCCTACAAGTGACATGAGCAACCATCTGTGTACATGAGTATAATCTTTATATCCCAATCATATAACTTTTCATACATCTGACACAGTTTCTTCCTTTCTTTCCAAGAGGTAAAAGTTGAATGAATTAATAAATTAAATCAAAATCTAATAGATATGCTCAGCAAATTTTCCGAGCTATCAATGAAATTGCAAGAATACAGAATTGAAAACCAACATATTTTCTTCCAATGAACAGAAAAGAAAAAGAAATTAATCCCAAAAAGAAAAAGTACCAGATTTTGAAGAAAGCAACAAGAGATGCAGAGTAACATAGACTTTCAGAGGTATGTTTAAAGTAAAATAAGTAAATACAGAGTCACGCAAATCCCAGAAACTCTAAAAACTAAAACACAGACTACAGTCAGGTGTAAATCAGATAGCATTTACAAAGTAAAAGAAGAAAAGAATAAGAGTTAAGGAACTAGCAACAGACCCCGAATGGCTTCAACTCGAAAACTAAGAAATTTGCTGGTTAACAATTAGCTTAGTCTGCATTGCAGAACCACAAATTTCATAAGAAAACAAAATAAAATAAAGGGCATCGAAAGTTTTGCTCTGAGAATAGAAAATTTTAAATCTTTAACAAAACGTGACATAAAAACCAGAGCTTTACCTTGGAGAATGGAGAGAGAGGGAGAGAAAAAACAGCAGCTTTGTCTATGAACACTAGAATAATAATCTTACAAAAGAAGTAATGGGCTTGTCTCCTTTTGAGCCAAGTACGTACATACAGCTACAGCACAGAAGGCAAAAACGAGGGCGTTTTAGCTGTTCATGGAATTCCTAGAGAGTTTTGAACAGTACCCTTCTGATGGAGAAAGAAAAAGAGATAGAGATGCCTAGACTTTTCAAACAAAATTCCAACACTTAGACGCAAGGAAATGTTGCCAAGAAAAAATAAAAAAAAATGAAAGAACCCAACTATTTCAACTATATTTTATTGTTTCTATTGTAAAGTTTTAGTATTTTTGGCTTTCAAAAACTTGGTCTTAGCAACTGCAGAAATGCAAGTTTGGGTTGCGTAGGAAGGAAAAAAAAGGGAAAGTGCAAAATGGGTTCTTTTCATTTATGTAGTTAATTTTTTGGGTCTGAAAAACTGTGACTCGGTGTGCAGTAGCTTGAAGAAGGAGCCCTAGAGCTAGTGGTACGTCCAACTAGCCGTCTCTGTTTCTCTTTTGACTCTCTGATCCTGCCTAGCTATATGTATAGGCCGGAGGGGGGGGACCTGCCTGTAATAATATAGAAATTACAGGGCGGGTCCCACAGGGGGACAAATTATAGGGTGTTTAAATGCACTTGAGAGCCCACTGGGATAAAACTAATGCTCTCAAGCTACATGGGGAAATGTCATCTCCAAATGGACACGTGGCCAGGTGGGATTCGCTGTGTTTCAAAACCTCATATTAAAGTTTGAACTTTGGGGTCCCATTCTTGTGTTACTTATTTACTAAGTGAAAAAGACTAGATTGCCCATGAATCTTGAATGTGGATGAGGGAAGTGGTAGGGTGAAAGAGTAAATTTAGTTAGATTTTGATTGCTGCTCTTCATTGTTTAGGGTTCAAGTTATTATATTACAAAATGCCACCTAAGAATCATGATGTACAATTAAAAATGGTAAAGATGTCATTGATTGGTTGCCATGCTCTAGATTTTCCTTACATCTAAAGTTTATCCAATCCACCATATATATATGGGAAATGATAGATGGTTAGGTTTGGATAGCAGAAAAATAGGGCAGAGAGGAAGTTAGGTGAGGCATGGATGGGTGTGAAGTTTGTGAAAACTATTACAACATTTATCTTATTGAGAAATATAAGAAAAGTGGATTATTTTTTTTTTCCTTCTTTTGTTGAGTAAGGGTTTATTTGTTGTAGGTGTGGCAAGTAGTGTTTTTTTTTATAGAATAATTCATGTCGGTGAAGTCTAGTCCAATGAAAAATGACATTAACTTGTAGATCATTGGTCTCAAATTCGAATCTCCATAACACTTTTATAATGTGTGTGTGAGAAACTCTCATTTCTCTTGTCGTTTAGATCTTTTACAAAAGTTTTGATCTCAAAAACATTGTTTATTATATTTGATTGTCGACAAACAAAAGAGTTGTTGGCTTCAACATTGTAGAAGTGATGATGATATTGGTAGCAAGCTAAAGCCACTATGACAATTCGACCCCAAAAAAAACCACTATGTACGGTTTATATAAAAAATAATTAAAAAAAGCTAAGTTTTGACTGTGGTGAAGAAAAGCACTTTCAAAAAAGGCCTTCATAATGTAGAGTGAAAATGGTGAAAATCTAGAAGAATGAAATACACCAAAGAACACATAAGCAAAATACTGTATATGATAATTACTACTAAGATAGGACGACAACATGCATTAATAGCACTTAATATCACGTCCTTTACAACCACATTAAGCTATAACCATGACAAAAATAATGACAGTGCCAACCTAAAAAATTGACGGATGGGAGGAAGATACAAGAGTACAACCAGACAGCACGAAATATGAACCCCATTGGCATAAGCTATAAGCAGAAAGAAAAAAAAAAGTATATAAAATCTGAAAACTTCTGTGGATTTTGTTCTAGCAGTATATGAAGTTGCCGCAGAGTTGAGGGATAGGGTGGGGGCAGAGAGATTAGGTTCATTTCAGCCCCAGTCAGTTTATGTTGCATGCATATATCATACAAAAGTATACACTCTTCCATTCTGAAACCCTACCCCATCTATTTTTATTTTTTTTCATTCTTCCTATTAATAATTTAGACTATATGTTTGCGGGTTATTGTTTGTATAACCGATAATTTAAATACTCTAAATTAATCTACCCTTCGGAAAGGAGAACACGAACTTAGGTGCAAGGGAACGAGCTCATTACTCTAACCAACTGACTTAACTCACATATGTCATTCTTTAATTAATTATAATTTAAATTATCTAAGTAAGTCTCTCGAACCATCTCGTCTTTTATTTCTCGTTTTATCGGTCTCTATAGTGAGTTGGTGGGAACTCAATCACATATTTTTTGAGGCACTTGTTTTCCGGATAGGTATGAAGTTATGATGATAACTTTTGAAGTTAAAAAAGTTTCCATCATGTACGACCAATAATTTTCATGGAGACTATAGACTTTGCAATCATGTGAATGCAAGTAGCTTTAGCACATTGAATAAAGGAATGCATACATGTACAATTAGTTGGTAATTGATTATGCATCCATGTAACTTTGCATCATAATGTTTCTTGCTCTCTTTTTACTTAAATTATTAGCATTCTTAAAAAATCATCATACATTCATTTTTTTTTTATGAAAATATAAAGGATATATACATTGCATAAGAAAAAGTATTTGATGATCTTTTTCGAGTGCCAATAACAGTTCTCGAATTATTTGATTATAACATCGTTTGCCGTCTAGATCTCCTTATAATATTTATCTTTTTATTAATAAAATTACAATATCCATTTTGTATGCACATCTAATGTAAGTTAATTAGTATACTGCTATACATATGTTGTCAGACTAATCATTCTATGGATTAGACAAATTTAACTACTTTGAATTAATGTGTAAATAATCTTCTACCCGATCGCCATCTTAGATTTTTTTTTCTCTCTTCTTCTTTATAATCTATCTTTATCCAAACAAATCAATCAAAATAATGAGAAACTTTTTAAATAAAATAAAATAAATAACTTTGCTGGTTCTGCTGGTTAATATTATAAGCCAAGTGACTTATTGGTTGATGAGAGCTTTTGAGTCTAACTTTTAACAAACTTCTAGTTGATTAGAGCGAATATACTTCTCATTCTGCACCCGAATTCAGATATAATTATATATATATTAGGTATTTATTTGTAAAACTCAGTCAGCTTTGCCCTTGGAATATGAATGAAGCCAAGTTTGGAGGTTTTTGAAATAAATACATAAATTGTCTTGAGACAAGTGTTTGGCATGTAGCAATGAGCATAGGGTTTTGACTCTTTTTAGGGTTTGATTTGAACTTTGAAGATTTCTTTCTAGCCTTTGGAAAGTTAGTTGGGAGGATGGGGACACGTGGCGGTGTTCGACTTCTCAATCACTAAACTAAAATTCTACGCTCCTGACTGGTAGCTGCAACTTGTGTTTGCACACGCACGTGCCAGTCTCAATTTAAATGTTTTATTGTTTTATTATTTTTGGTCCAGAATTTTCTGTTTTATTTTTCTATATTTGGTCCAGAATTTACTTTTGCTAATTTCTGGTACAGAATTTATTGTTTGATACTTTTGTTGATAGAAACAGGTGCCAATGGATCTGTGTCTTGCCATAAAGCTTAATGCTTATGTGTAGTTTTCATAACGAATATTTATATGTGTATGTATAGGCGGTGGACTGTTAACCACAAAATTGAATCAAAATTTTCCTGGATATCTATGTCAGGCAGTTGACATTTCACCAAAATGTAGATGGGTCACGTGCAACGCACGTGAGTAATTGGATGGCAAGACTTTGTGACAAACATGAGTAACCAAAAGAAGAAGAAAAAAAAAATGTAATGTTTTTTTTTTTTCTTTCACTTTTGCTTTAATTATTCATATCATTTTTAGCATATACTTTATCATTTAAATTTGAGTATTTTCAGAGGTGGCATAAGCTAGCTTTTAAAATGTTAATTTTTGTTATTAGTATCTTAACCTACATATATTCACATTTCTTCTCTCATCCGGACGTCCGCACGTTATTATTGTACCAATGCCATTATAAACAAGTAGGAAAACATGGAGGGATAGTAAAAAAATACATGATTTCGCACAATAATGACATTTAGACATCTACATAGAAAAAATATCTGCATATATATAATTTTACGCATAAATTTTGGATTTTAAAAGTATGTGATGATGACAACTTTAGAGGTTAGAGGGCCATTTTAGTTGTCTGCATAAGACAATTTTGGGGATTTTCTTGTTGCGTTGAAAAACATGTTATAGTGGCCACACTGATCTGGTTTTGATTTATTTTCCAACTATGCAGTGCCATAGTCGGTAGGTAAATGGAAGTGGTCTCTGGTCAGCCACCGCCTGCTTTCAATATCAATTCATATACAAAGACTGCTTTTTATCCTTTATCAAAGGTTATTAAAATCTTTATATGGAAAACTTGACATCCCTACAGAGAACCAAATGAGGTAACAAAGTCATTGCAAATAGTCTATGTTATCCAAAAACGAATTAAGCTTTTCACACATCCTAATTAGGATAAGGAATCTGTTAGGATAACACTACAGATGAATGATAGGATCACTCGTTCACACATGCGAAAATTGTTAATTATTTCTTCATGTGACAATAAAAAATGAATGAAGCTTATTCGCATATTTTAAAATAACACTGTAGAAAAATGTTAAATTCAACTATCGGCGTATGCGTAAATAACTGTTAACCATTCATGTATATGCTTCTCTTAATTCTAAAATTTCTCAAATATCACATTTGATGTGGTAGGTTCATCATAGGTTAGCTAGTCAAGAGCCACTAGTGAGTTAGGTAAGGTCTCTTACTTGGGCACCATGACTAGAATCAACCTAGGATGTGCTTCTACTGCCTCTGGTACCACAAAATCAGTCTAAGGTTTCAATACACCAATTATGAACATGGCCCCAATTCTTCCACCAAATAAAGATGTCATCCACTAAAAGCAAGGAAATTAAAGCCAAAAAAAAGAAAAAAAAAACAGAGTCATGCTGATCAAAGATGGCCGTCAAACAAATCGTATAGCTGCATTAATATATGCCGCGGTCTCCACACATCGGTGAAATGGTCACACAGCCACAGGATCATAGCACCAGTGAAACTTATTACTACAATGTATTTTTAAAAGTTTCGTACATAATTATATTAATTAGTATATTGATTAGATTAATCTTCCCCAGTTTATCAATTGCATACCATTTTTAAATGCTCTATATTGCGTCCTATCCAAATATGATTATAGAAATACTTAGTTTTCACTTTGTTAGAGGTGCGACGAGTTCAAATATCATAATTGAAAGTTTGCTTTTATTGTTAAATATATTAGAATTAGACAAACTGTCTTGGTTGGGTTCGGAAATATTTAGATTGTTTTAAAATACTATGTAATGTGGATCATCAGAATTTCCAGTTTTATTGCTTTAGTTGGTTGAACTTTGTGTGTACTTTTATTCTCCTCTTCTGTAAAGCCCTTGTTGTTGTGTGTAATTGTGTTTCGTCTTTTTTACTTGTTTTTTAGCCGTTAGGTTTTGCTACGTTGTTTGTTTGTTGGTTGGCGTTATGTCTTTTAGGTTTTGATTTGGTGCTAAATTGAATAATTTTGTCATTAATTTACATATTTTTTTTATATATTTTTAATCCTGAAAGATGCTTTTGTTTTGTATTTTTTTCATAGTGCTGCTAGCAATGAGCTGGCCTTCTTCTTTTTTATTTTGGATTGTTCATGTGGCACTGGAAGAATGCACAGTCATGAACCCGACCAATGAATAGAAACTTTAAGACATTCCCACATACAAGGGAGAAAAAAACAAGCAAAGCATCGCATTTGTCCCCAAACAATGCTCACGGGTTCTGAATTAACAATCTGCATTCTATACTCCCCAAACTAATAGATATACCAGCAAAAACCAAAAAGAAAAGGAATGTGTAACTGGCACCTATGCTGTAAGTCTAACCAATTACATAAGCGCTTATAACTTCAGTGATAGAATATTTATGTTTATGTTCACAATAAAAGTTCGACTCTCGGTTTGCCCTTCTTAAACTCTGGCTCTAAACCAGGAAAAACAAACCTATACCTATGGTAGAGTTCATTTTCATTTTTTGACCATTAAAAGTAAAAAGCATTGCATGTCAAGGGAGGATGATCATGATTAAATTGTGTTAAAATTTAAAGTGGTTTTTTATTTTTATTTTATTTTTTGGGTACAGTAGAGGTCCAAGGACCAAAACAGAACCAATCACAAACAAGCTTGGGCCTGGCCCAGATTCTCTCTTTAAGTACTGTCAGCTGCAAGCTAGAGAAGACCCATTGCTTGGCATAGTCCACAGTAATTGAAGGGGAGAAAGAAATTGAAAAAGATGAGATTTAGGAAGAAAAAAAAAGAGCATTTACAATAGGCTTATTTATGTACATGCCCCTTGTGCTTTCAAACTTGTCTCAGATTACCATCCGTGTTTCGAAACGTCTCAAAATACCCCCCATATTTTTAAAAACTGTCTCACGTTACCCGTTCTGTCAGTATTATAGACGTTTTGTTATGAATGTTGGGCCCCACTTCGTTTCACTCGCTTAACATTGGAGAAAAAGAGTGCTACTATTTCCACCCCCTGTCCTATTTCCCTACCCACCTCAAAATTTTAAGGACAAATGTAGCCCTTTGTAAAATGACTTTTAAGGACTTATGCCACCTCATTAAAATTTAATCCAACATATTGAAATTTTTTCATAATCAAAAAGAAAAAAAAGACTCTAATGCAACTTAACAATTTGAACCTTAACTCCTGCTATCATTTACCTTTTTTTTTTCCTATCTCTTCAACCTCTCCCCCTTTCCTGTTTGTTTTGCTTGCAACATCGTTCCCCAATCTTTCTTTTTTTGTCAATATCTCCCCCAATCAGTTTAGCCTTCTTTTTTTTTCCTTATTTCTTATACCTGCAGCTTCTCCACCCAATTGTAGAGGTTTGGTTTTTCCTTCTTCCTTCCTAAACCCTAAACAAACTCTCCAAAACAGAAGATTTTTTTTTTCTATACTCTCTTTATAATGGCTTAACTGATCTTTACATAATAATCAAAATCGTTCAAATTCAATTTAATTCAATTTAAGGTGACCTTTCTTTCTCAGCCCTGTCTTCTTATACGCCATCTACATTTGTCATTGCTTCGTACAACCTCTCCTAACAAACCCTCCAACTCAACAATGAGACCACCCTCCAATTCTCGGGTTCCAACCCCGAATTTTCTCAAGCCACCACTAAAACCAACCAAACTTGGAGAAAGGAAGAGGGAAAAAAAACCTATACAATTGGGTGGAGAAACCGCAAAGAAAGAAAGAAGAAAAAAGAAAAGAAAAGAAGAATAACGATTGTAGGAGTTAATTGTTAAGTTCCATTAAGTTTCTTTTGTTTATGTTTTAAATTATTGCATTTGATAAAAAGAAAATAATAATTAAAGGGTATTTTAGGAATAATGGTGGGTGGAAAGATATGATTATGTGTTTTAAAATTTATATGGTGGGTGGAAAGATAAGGTGGGTGGGGAAATAGGACAGGGAGGGTGGAAATAACAGCACTCGAGAAAAAGGGTTTTCGAGTTTCAGAAAATGGGAAAGGGGGTATTTGGGTGAGAAGGGGAGATTTGGAGAAGAAGGCTAGGGCTTTTACAAAATCTGAAATGAGGATTACCAATCGGGGTTGCTGCAGACCCAATATTTGCACTTGAGGCAAGGGTAAGCAGGAATGGATGAGCTGGGAGGTTATGCTGTTTTGCAACTTTTAAAACAAATTCAGTCAAAACCACGCAAGAGGTGTCATTGGTGAAGAGAGCACTGGAAATTGCAGAAATCAAGCAAATTCGACAGAGCAAATCCTTTGCTCCTTGGGTTTTCCACGAGCAACTTACCCAAATATTTGAACATATCTGCTCTTTCAAGGTAAATACTGACAACCATTGTCCCAAACAAAAGACCAAGGATTGGGAGATCAATAGCAGCATATGCTTGGTCAGGAGTTAAGACTCTAAAAATAACCATAAGCATTGCTCCTAGGAGAGACCCTGCAGTCCTCCCAATTGGCAGAAAAGGGACAGCTGGGAACACTGCCAATGCCCAAAAGACTGCAAAGGCAATTGAGCGAAGAACCACTTTCACAGAAGAAGCCATGACCATTTTTCCAACTTAAGAAGCTCAGATTTTGCAAAAGCCCTAGCCGCCTTCTCTAAATCTCTCATTCTCACCCAAATACCCCCTTTCCCCTTTTCTAAAACTCGAAAACCCTTTTTCTCCAATGTTAAGCGACTGAATCGAAATGGGGCCCAACACTCGAAACGGAATGTCTATAATACTGAAGGAATAGGTAACATGAGATAATTTTTAAAAGTATGGGGGATATTTTGAGATGTTTCGAAACACGGGTGGTAATCTGAGACAAGTTTGAAAGCACATGGGGCATGTACATCCAAATGTCCCATTCTCACCCAAATACCCCCTTTCCCCTTTTTTAAAACTCAAAAACCCTTTTTCTCCAATGTTAAGCGACTGAAACGAAATGGAGCCCAACGCTCATAACGGAACGTCTATAATACTGACGGAACAGGTAACGTGAGACAATTTTTAAAAGTATGGGGGTTATTTTGAGACGTTTCGAAACACGGGTGGTAATCTGAGACAAGTTTGAAAGCACAGGGGGCATGTACATAAATAAGCCTTTAGAATAACATAGAATCTAGAGAAGGAATTAAAAGGGTGTTTTTTTTCTTCTTTTAAAAGGAAATTTTTTTTCCATAATTACCAGGGTAGGGTCAAAAAATAACACCACACCAAATATAAAGACTCTGATCGCATAAAGCTGATGGCCTCCTGTGTAAAAGAAGCATCTTGAAATCCACAATAATGGAATGCATTTCAAGGTGTGGTCTGTCTTAAGAGTTCTCACCTCCAACACCTCCAATTCTTTACATGAATATTTACCACGAACCTCGCTCATAAGAGTTACAAGAAATGCACATATACATGTAACTGATAACAACTCACAAGTACGCTGAATTTCAACCCTATTTTATCGAAAGTGTTGGATTAGCTATCTGTTGTCCTGACCGTGTTCTCGCTCACCGTCTGCCGCACAAATTGTCCCCGTATGCGAGGTCGTTGTTCAGCCAGTTTCTTTCTGCTTTGATATCGAACCTGAAAAACCAACCAAAAACCAAATTCAGCAAACCCGTCTACATTTCTTTTCTGTTTTGATGAGTTCTGTTCAAATATTCTAAAGGAAATCAAGCATGCAAGAAAGGAGGCATTTAACAGATTTAACTTACTCAATTCACATCAATGTTTGCGCAAACAGGAAGAACTCAATTTAACAAGCCTTCCTTGGAGGAGCAAATACGGATAAGAAATTTTTGAAATCAAAATAGGGAGAAGAAATGAGTGGAGGTAATTTAAAAAACAATTTCGCAAAGGACAAACACCTAAATTATTCCTAAACCACTTATTAAGATCTAGCATTAGGATGAAACAACTGAAAATTAGTCACCTTTTTCCGGAAACATCTCTCCTTTCTTTTCTGACGAAACTTAGTCAAGGCAGCTTCTCTCTGCTTGAACTTGTTTTCATCTACTCTATTTCCACTAGCATCACCACTTCCACTTTTCCCAGCAACATCACTTTCCATGTTTGTACCACCTACATTTTTTCCAGTGGTGCTTCCGTTTTGCCCATTGCTCCCATGGTTACTGCCTGAAGCACTTCCGTTGACACTGTAATTTCCCGGATTACCTTCAACAGGCCCACTCAGAACATTGGACGATCCACAATGCGGAGCAGCTGCAGCCAATTTCTTCAAAGACAAATCGTTATGCTCGGGCAGGTGTTGTCCTTGCATGGTGTGGACAACATGGCGATGGACCTGACAGTGATCATAATCATGATGGAGGTTCTGAATTTGGAGTTGCTTCTGGGCATCTCTTGAATGAGCCAATACTGTCGTTGCCACATTATTAGCATTATCTACTAAAACTTGCTGGGTAGCACTCTTAAGGTCCTTTTTCACAGGTTGGAAAGCAGACGATGGATGCAGAAGTTGGACTGTAGATGCTGCTGCTGACTTGTTTATAACTAGAGATTTGGGAACATCGTTATTAGTTGTGGAGCCCATATCAATGTTATTGCTGCCTCCATTCGAGGATTGATTAGGAGGGTTATCGCTTGAATGAGGTCGAATATCACGAAAAAATTCATTTTTTGTAACTTCCCCACTATTATCTTGTGGAGAGTTGCTTCCAACATGCCCAGAAAGAGCCTTGTTAGCATTTGAGGCTGCGTTATACCTGCACAGGAAGAAATATGCTAAGGGTAACCATATAGAAATTTCAAGAGAACGTACAAGACAACTGTTTCAAACTCCCACTTTATCAGTAGACAATAGCAATATCCAGGTCCTTATGTTCCTCATACCTTGAAAAGGCTGAAGAGTCTGAACGTCTTAAGACATTGCGGTCATCCTGTACTGTTGTCTCAGTGCCTTTAACTCCTCTAAGTCTTTTCAAACTGAGCTCCACAGATGGTAGTTCATGAGTATTACTATTGGCTTTAGTGTTTATGTCTAAGGCCTTATACTGTCTGTTAGAAGCTTCGAATTGTGTGCTGTCCATCAGGGGATCAGTGAGATCAGTGACAACACCTGTTACAGTAGCACCATCGTACTTTAGCTTACTGGAAGGACTCTCATAGTTGAACTTCAGCTGCCCCTCATCAATCTGGTGGTCAAATTCACCGGAACCTATCTCAATCAGATTATTCTGTCTTGTTCCTGCTGGTTTGGTTGAAAAGTCATTAGCGTGCTGACGCTGTAAATCTCTATTACTGGATAGGCCTATCTCTAGATCTTTTCCCATTGCAAAGTTGTCTGAATAAAAAAACAGCTTAATCACTAAGAAAGTAAAACAAGTATACATGTGCGAGCGCGTGCACACACACACACACACACACAAACATATAAGGAAAATTGCATAATAACATGTGAATAGGATGCACAGAACCACACAGGTTTAGATAATTCCAGGAATACCATGTTCCTTCTGTGGTTGGCACTCCCTTGTTGCAGCTGGAGGGGCCAATTTGTTACCAAGTGATTCAGCGTTTGAGTGAACTACTTGGAACATGTGAATAGGATGCACAGAACCACACAGGTTTAGATAATTCCAGGAATACCATGTTCCTTCTGTGGTTGGCACTCCCTTGTTGCAGCTGGAGGGGCCAATTTGTTACCAAGTGATTCAGCATTTGAGTGAACTACTTGGGCGCAAGTACTATCAGGACACTCGGCTACCTGGTGCCATGAGAACACTTGTCGCGGACTGTCAACTTCTACAGCTTTTTTTGTCCAGGAACTCTGTAAAATGAAACACCAACACAGTGAGACTGCAGCGTACACATCTACGAGTCTGGGTCATTCTATGACTTTATTTTCTTAATTTTTTCTTTAAGGAGGTGATGATCCGTGTTACTCATCCAAAAAAAAGAACAACTTATCCCAAGTGTTATATTCTTTTGCATATCTGCAAAATTGTGGACTAATCCTTAAATTGATTAACAGCAATGCTCCTTTACTGGTGTGAACCTGTTCACAATTTGAAACCTATTAAACAAGAGTTATTGAAGTAACTTCCATCGATTACCATTAGGCACTGTATAGTATTGACTTTAATATGCATAACTAACTACACTACTTACATTATTAAAACAGTAACCTGTACTTTCTAGGACTCTCATAATAACTGAGTCTGGACGCTAGAGTTAAGAGTCAACACTATAAACAAGCAAAAGGCAATTACAAGTTATCTTACAGGATAGTAAACCCGTCATCAGTTTCCGAAAACCTAATACAGAAACAGATTACAATTCAATTAAAAACAATTAAATCATATGCTATCCTCAGCAGGACCAACATTATCAATCCCTTTAGCAACCTAAGAATAAGAGCTGCAAAACGAGAGTAACTGATGCACACATCCGAAAAGAAGTAAAGCTGCAATTATTCTATTGAGAGGAGTATACATTCCCTTCTCCTGACTAATGTGAAAATTCATATAATAGGTATGCACCATCCAAGATCTTTAGTATCCAATAACTACCATACCTGAGTGCCGCTCCCATTGTCACTTCCATCTCCAACATTCAAACCAGTGCTCGCATTATCTTCCTCATCATTGCTTCCACTATTGTTCTCAGACTTTGCAACACTTTTTGATCTTACAGACTTTTGAGTTTGTGTGCCGCTTTCACTTCCAGTTCCACTACCACTAGACTGAAAGAAAGTTTAGATACCAGTCATACAAAGAAAATTAAGAAACATAATATAAACTGCAACGTGAAACAAAATTACTAACCATTAAGCAAACATATTTAATATAAACTTATGTAATATCATCATATAAATAAAAAGCTCTTCTCATTAACAATGGCACTGCTCAACAACAATCACAAGAGAAAAAAAAGACCCTTCACAAAACAGGAGAAAAGTAAAGCATGTGAAGTGAAAACTACTTTTTATATATCAGTTGAGGAAGGTGAAAAAATAGGAAAATACAAAGAACTGAACAGCATTACACAGACTTGTGGGCAAGCATTCTAATACCAGAATGGAAAGTCATAATGACTCACACTATGGCATCTCCTCCAAATGTGCTGCCAGAGGTTCTTAAGCTCATTCTTTCGTATAGGCTTCACTAAAAAGTCAACAGCACCCTTTGACAAACACTTAAAGACGAGACCCATTGAATCATGAGATGACATCACTGCACACAAATCTCAAAATAGTTAGACATCTCTACTTTCTAAGCTGGCATAACTCAAAACTTATAACAGAGTATCATTACTCAATACAACTGTTATTGAGTTGGGCATAAAAAAAATTTATAAAAAAAAAAAACTTACTAATCACAGGAACATTTTTCCTCGTCTTATGGCTCATAATCTTGTTTAAAAGCCCAACACCGGATAAGCATGGCATAACTACCTCAGTTAAGACTAGATCAACATGATTAGTCAAATCTTCCAGAATCTTCCATGCTTGCAATCCATTTGCTGCTGCAATCACTGAAAATACGAAGAATTGAGCATCAAATCCTGGATTTTAAAAGATAAATATACAAAAAGGATGTAATGTACCAGGTAAATATACGATATTTGTGTGTGTACATGTGAAATAAAAGAGATATATGGATGCAGATATCATGTATTTTGCAAATGACAGAAAACTAACATTATTATTATTATTATTTTCAAATGCAACAACATATACATCTATGCTTTCCAGTAATCACAAAAGCATATGATAGCATGAAAGATCATAGCATCCACATTAAAAACGACAAAAAACAAAAGCTTGGACATGCAAACCCTGAAAGTCAAGTTAACAGGAAACTCAACCCGATAAAGTTGATAATGTATCCATTCACTTTTTCATAAACAGCAGTGTCTGGATATGGTCATACATATGAAGCATTAGGTGTCTCAGAAGCCAAATTACTAACCTTCATAACTGCAATTGCGAAGCAGTGCAGTGACAACATGGCGAGTACAATCATCATATTCCACCAGTAAAACCTTAAGAGATCTAACATGTAGAAACCTTTCCCAGCAAACCGTTGACCCTTGAGGCTGTTGCTTAACAGCCTGGACTTGAACACCCCCTCCTTCCCCACCGTTTACATCTCCAGCTATTCCAATACTTTTCGACTCATCTTCCTCAACTAACCTTCTTTCCTCATCTACCACTCCATTCTTAACCCTTTCCTTCCCGTCCCATGAACGGTGATTCAGCTCCAGCAGTTGCCTATCCTCATCACTATCAACACTCATCAGGATACTCTATCAGTCAGACAAAAGACTAGTAGTAAAAACGGCCCAAGTTCAGATTGAAAAAAAAACTTCTTGAATCGGGAAAAAGAATGGCGCATAGCGTTGGCTGCAAAGACCAAACCTCTGCAACTACAGACCCTTCTAAACCTAACACGATGGGTATTCACCAGTTACAAAGTGATGTCAAATGATAATCCGTAACCAAATATATATACAAGTGATGCCAATTTACACCAGATGTTGTTAGCTGGCTAAAAATGGCTTGAAACCCAACAAATTGCTTTCACCCTGTAAGACCAGAACACCATATCAGTAAAAAAAATACACCATAAGGCATTAACATCAAATTCTTTCTTTTAAAGGTAAGATGATACCAGTACAAATTTTTTTATATAAAAAAATCCAAATAATTTAAAATGGAGAACTTGGAACACTATTAATCTACAAATAATTGAAAGATGCATAGAATCAACAGAAATGATGATTTAAAAATCTCACATAGCGCCAATCTTCAACAACTATAAATGATATAGATGAACTTAGATGAGCTTCAAATTATCTAAACCAGAGTAGCCAAGTATATAATTCAAAACAATTTTTTTAAAAAAAAAACAGAGAAGAGAAGAGAAGTATAAAATCAAAGAAGTAACATGGAAGAAATCACCTGCAAAGCTTCATTAACCGCCATAATTGAGCTAGATCCAAACCGAAATTACCAAGAAAATCATTGTACTAAAATACAATATGGTCAAACAATAATTCCGAAAATCTTAGTTTGGATCTTCAAAAAATATCTGAATTTGGATATTTCTTAGATATTTTTGTACTATCTTTGCAGAGTTGGGACAGGCTTGACTGGACCAAGAAACATAAGACTGCAAACAGTTACGAGAGAGATAATCGGCGATCCTTTCGTCCAGGGGGAGAGGGAGAAGAGAGAGAGAGAGAGATGAGTAAAACTGTAAAAGATATGGAGCTGCGAGATCAGCTCAGCGACTGATGACGTGGACAAAATAAGGGTAGAGAGAAAGAGAGAGATGAGTAAAAGATATGGAGCTGCGAGATCAGCTCAGCGACTGATGACGTGGACAAATAAGGGTGGAGATGCAGTAGAAGTAGAACGTTCGAGAACGCCACGTCAGATGCAAGATATTTCCAGCTTGGCAGAAAATGGGGCCGAGGGCTGCTGAGGTGGACGAAATCTAAAGCAGTGAGTGCAAGGGCTCGCTTGGCACTTCTGAAGATCTCGGAGATCTGGTTTGCGACACGTGGCGGTATTGGATGGCGAGTACTGGAAGGGGAAACGTCGCCTTCATGGATTACCTACTCGCCAAATATCTTCCATGTGGTTGGTGCTGGTGGAAGTGGCGGTGGTGACGTGTTAAATTTTCGTCAGTTGTCCACACGCTTGGGCCATTTCCTTTTTTTGGGCCTGAATATTTGGCACGTCATATGAGTAAAAATATCCTAAAATATCTAAATGAGAGTGTGATTAGGGTGTTGCAAGTTGCAAGGAACATTTGGGGCCTGCTTTAAAAATTTTTTTGCTTTGCAAAAGACCCACCACTAGTGTAGTGGTTTAGAGTAATAGCTCTCTCTTGTTAATCAAAAGGTAATACTTGCATTAATTTATATGTCACATTAAGTTCCACGATGGTTAAATACATGATTATGTAACTTATTCGGAAATACCTTTGTCAACATTGTTGATTTAAGTTATTAATTTATGCGCTAAAACTGAACTAAGATTTTATGTGTAGCAATGAATGTTGTTAAACACTTAAACTACAAGAGCCTTTGCATTCAAATTATTTTAAAGTTAGATTAGAATGGACTGCGCTGCATTATTTTTTCACTGATTTGAACTTTTGGGTAATCACGGATTAAGTCTAAGATCATATAATAACTCTCAACAAATCCATTATATTTTTATTTTCACCATCCCACTTACTGTTTCTATATTTCATAATTTTAATATTTTGGATAGAGATATCTTCTTAACAATAATAATAAATTTTCAGAAAATGGTAGGCAGGAGCCTCTTCAAGTTGTCACTGTGCACTTTTGGCTAAAGGACAACCCATACAAATTGACTTTTATGAGCTTTCATGCGCAGCCTGCTGGATAGTGCTTACCTTTTGTAGAATATACTTCATATATTCATCTTCTTTTGGGAACTGGCCCTACTGCCTTCAAATCTTATCCAAATATGAAGATGCCAAAAGAAAAAGAAGAGGTGGGAAATTATGTGGAGGAGAGAAAGCTGTGGTCTGAGAGAGCTTGCTCATATTCGAATCTTGAGGAGATGCTTTTGGGCTATATAAGGATATTATTGCGATTCCATGGATTTACAGAGATCCTTCTCAACAGACATCACAAAACCATTGCTTCATTTGGAACCATGCATCATGATCCAGTGGAGAAAATGGATGCCGGAACAAACATGAAGTGCGTAGATGAGGTTGAGGAGGAGGAATATTCATTGTGTGTGACACAGAATTCAGGGTTTCGCATATCAGATCAGCCTCTAATGTTCTTTATCAGAAATGTCAAGCTTCACTTTTATTTTCTTTGATGGAAATCGAAAAAAGGCTTAATATCATGGATCCGGATGCTCTGTTTGGATTTTCGGCCGCCCGGATGCTTTGTTGTTTAAGGTATCATATTGGCTGATTGCAGGAAACATTACCAGATTGTTTTTATACAAAAAGCCATAACAACTGGATAGGGAGGGAAAAATGTATTTTCTTAAATTAGAAAGAAGATATAATTTTGTAATTTCATGAAAAATTTACAGATGCGACTCCAAGGACATATACAATCTTTGTCATGGACAGATTGGCAGCGTTCAAGCACTAGGAAGTGCATGCAACGTAGCTATCAACTGCAGCCAGCCATAACCAAAAAACCATAAAGGGTAAAAGGTACACCAACAATTAAACACGACTCTTCTCTACAATTTTTCTTCTTCTTTCTTTCAAGGTTTCTGCTGTCGGTGAAAGCGACAAAGTATCACCAAACGACTGTACTGTTCAAAACAACACGGGGGCACGCACGCACAATCATGATGCATATAGTCTAACCACATTGATTTACAACAAAATCACTATAACCTAATCGCGCATCAAGTTTAAAAGGAACTACTTTGGTAAAATGTACAGCACATTCTATCTTGCACCGCTCAAACTTCTGCAGTCAAGAGCTGGTATTGTGCCGAAATTCAATATCTGCAGCTGATAACTTGCTGATTGGCAGTACTTGAGCCAATCAACTCGGCCAGCTGCAAGAGGAATCTGGAAAATAATAGGTAGAAGAACAAAACTATATAACAACCAAAGACCCTGCCGTAATGGACCTGTATCATATTCATAACATATCTTAGCATGATTGGCTCATCACCTTATACCAAACTTATCTGAAATAAATTTATAAAGTCGCAGGGGGCAAAAATGAAAAGAAAAAAATAGGAACAAGTTTAAGTTGAGGGCCATCAAAAAATTCCCTCATTTATTGTGCCCCACAAGACGCAATTTGCTATATTAATCAATCATAAGTTACAACAATACAGTATCATTATCTAGCCTCTTCTCCTGAAGCTTATTGCTGCCACAAAATTGTTAGTAAATAAATCATCCCTAAACCAAACAATACTAGACGTCTCTCTTCAAATGCAATATAACTGAATTCTCTCCATGAGAAAACAACAGACCAAAAAATTGAAAGTGTCCATAGACCCTAGCTCGCACCTTAAGCGTCTAGAGAATCACATATTCACCTTTACAGGCGCAATGCAACAAATCATGCTGCAGCAGACTGCTTCTCCTTGTATTCATCAAGATTAAGAACTTCAAGCAACTTTGGCCAAGACTCTGGGATCCCTCCTGGCAAATCAAACTCCAACAGTTTCCCTCGACTACGGTAGAATTCTTCTACAGGCCGACTCTGCATTGTCCATTAGGAATACAAACCATCAGAAAGACATTTGAATACAACATGGAAATTAAAATATTTTCTCTTTCTTCCCCCAAAGGAACCTAATACGCCTGCAACCAGCACTAGAAAATAATGGAAGGCACTTTCCCTATAAGCCCTTTTGTATTTACGTATGTTATTCAACTGTTTCCATGGTCAATCATGATATGAAAATAAAGAAATACCTTCTCATTGTATACATGAATCCGATGTTTAACCACTTCTTCAGTATCATCGGCTCGAGTAACAAGCTTTGACATACAATGTGGAGGTGGAAGAAGCGGAGCCATGCTAATTGCAGGACTCCCATTCGAGTCCTTAACATTAATGGAGGCCACATTGAAATTTCCCCCACACTGACTACACATTCTCCTCCCAAGGCATTTCTCAACCAACACATCTTCCCGGAGCTTCAGATTGAGCACCAGGTCAATCTCCGTCACCCCTTCCAATATTTCCTAACACACATACAGACAATCAATCCTTCAGCACATTTTCACCAATTCAGTAATCCATTACTCATTTGATCAATACAAATAGTTTAAATCGGATCATATAAAACCCACCTGGAATTATCAATTTAAGAGCTTCGTCATACAATGAATCACATTATACAGTTCAAATCTTACTCTACAATACAAGTGTACAACAGCTAAGACACTTACCGCTTGTCTTATGGTTCGAGGAAACCCATCAAGAATAAAACCCAGTTCCCCTTTAGCTCCCCCAGCCTCCAATCTCTTCGACAACAAGCTTATTATAATTTCATCAGAAACCAACTTCCCCTGGTTCACAATCTCTGATAACTGCAACACACAACACAAAGAACACAAAAAACACACAAAAAAAGATCAAAACCCAACAAAAAATGCAGATCTGAGAAAATAGAAGAAGCGAGCAATCAAAAGAATCAAAACCTCTTTAGAGAGAGACCCAGAGGCTGCAAGCTCTTCGCGGACGAGATCTCCAGTGGCGATGTGAGGAACGCCGAGAAGATTAGAGAGCCGGCTCGCGTACGTGCCTTTGCCCACGCCCGGTGAGCCCAAGAAGACCCACTGTACGTTTCGATCCTTGGGGTCCTTGATCGAGAGATTGGGCTTGGGCCCCAATCGTGGGCTATATGGCGAAGCGCCATGAGAGCTGGGCTCCGGTGCTATGCCCGAGTAGAAGCACCGGCTTATGCGTGAGACGGAGGAGAGTGATGTGAACGAGGGCTTTGATAGGCGAGTTAAGGCCGCCATTGAAATGCCGAAGTTTGCAGAGAGATGGGAGAGAGACTGAGAAAGTTAGTTGGAAGTTAGAAGCGTTTGGTTTTATGCCGCGCAACCCTAACGTCGTTCTCTTTTTTATCATACTGAAAACGGCTTGTCGTTCGTAATGTTTTGTTGAAGGGACTGCTCACGAGTTGCCACGTGTAGCCTCGTTTCCCATAAAATAATGAAATAAGCCAACGGTCGTAACGTCGCCACTTACTCGGCTGCTTCTTTCCTCTGAGAAACCATGGCGGTTACTCTCTCTGTAACATTCTTCTCCACCACACTCCCGCCAAAGAAGAACACCAATTGCGCCTCGACACGTGTAATTTCGAATCTGAATATCGGCAGCCTTCTTCCCAATCTCAATAGCTGCAAGAGACTGATCAAATTCTCACCGCGGCAAAGCCACGTCGTAGCCTCTGCAGTCTCTGGCTCTCCCGGCAAGTTTTCGTTTTCTAATAGCCTGTTTGGTTTCCGAGAAACTGATGGAAAAGAAAACAATTACATATTTTATCTATTTTGTTGTAATCGTGCGTGGATGTGGAACAGGGACCGAGTCTTCTTTGAACGGTGAAGATGCAGCGAGTTTATTGGAGACGGTGAAGGTGTTTGATTTGAATGGAAATGGAATCCAGATTTCGGATTTGTGGAAAGATAGGACAGCTGTCATCGCATTTGCGCGCCATTTCGGGTAATGTTCTAGTATTAATAATTGAACTAGTATAATCTGCAATAAATTTTGCTTAGTAATTTCATTTTCTGCTTAGTTTTTCTTGATTAGTAATTGTTAAGCTAAATAGGTTAAAAATTAAATTTTTGTTTAATTTTCAGATGCGTATTTTGCCGCAAACGGGCTGACTATCTTGCATCAAAGAAGGTAATTACCCATTAATAATTTATCACTGTATAGACTTTGATACAAGCTTGTCATCAACTTGTTTAGTTTATATTTTAATGATGCAAATTTATAAGCATTACAAATTTGAATAAGTTTTACTATATGGTAATTATTGGATGGGATTCTTGTCAATTACAGAAATAGGAGATGCCTAGTTGCCTTAAAACAACACAAGGGTACTGGCTTTCTAGCTTGCTTGCCTAAACACATTTCATATGTTGACAGGATATAATGGATGCATCTGGTGTGGCACTTGTTTTGATTGGACCTGGTAGCATTGATCAGGTTTGCTCTGAGAAATCATAGATAAGCATGTCAGCTTAATTAATCTTTAATTAGGTAGGTAGAGGTGGTGATTTCATGTTCTTACATTTCTGTATTAATGTATGACTTCCATCTGCCATCTGTGGAAGGGAAGGAGTCTCGTAATTTCGGCTATTTCCCTGTAAATTCAGGGATGTGACATGGCAAAAATACGGAAGAGCACTTCTTATCATTAACACTTTGCAGTTTGTACCAGATTGTGAATTGAACCTTGCCAAAGCTCACTAGCCAAGGCTTCATTATCTATTTCTTGTTCTGATTTACCGTTTGGTGTAAATCCTATAAACCTTTGTCATAACCATATGCAGTAACTTGTTATAGGGAAAAGAATTCGCTGAGCAAACAAAGTTCAAAGGAGGTAAGTTTCAGAAGAGCAGCTTTTACTAAATCTGTTATAATTTTTCTCCCTCTAAAGGCATCCCAGTCACAGAACTTCCTTTTTTTTCATTCCAGAAGTTTATGCAGATCCGAGTCACTCATCGTATGAGGCATTAAGATTTGTTTCTGGGGTCTTAACCACATTTACTCCCAAAGTATGTAAGCAACATTGTATGTTTTTTTATTAATGTGACGATGCATAGACGTACTAACTGCTTATAGTTAGAAGGGGGTGCTTCTGAAGTTTCTAAGAATTTCTTACAAAAGTAGGACTTCTTATCTAAGTTGCTTCTGCCACATTCTAGGCAGGTCTTAAGATAATAGAGCTGTACATGGAGGGTTACCGACAAGACTGGAAGCTTTCTTTTGAACAGGACACCGTAGCTAGAGGCGGCTGGTATTTTCTTATATCCATCTTACTACAAGTATCAGATTTGTATCATCATGAGAAGATTTACAAGTTGTCACCTTCTGTTATAGTTTTTGTTTTAGCAAGTAATTAGCACAAACTTTACATGTGTGACGTTGTTTGTTTGGCAGGCAGCAAGGTGGAATTCTAGTTGCGGGTCCTGGTAAAAGTAACATCCTGTACATCCACAAGGCAAGTTTTCTATCCTTCTTTTTGCTTGGGACTTAATAGACTTGTTGGTTAATCATGCGGTTGTAACCAGTTCAGATTGAAACTTCAGACCGCCAGATAATCCCAAGACTATCCATTTTAATTAGGACAATATAAAATCTGGAAGTACATACATAGTTCTTAAAGCATATAATGACTCAATATGTACAAGTAGAGCCTTCGAAGGATTTTCTCTTTCGAGTTAAGACAGTAACTTATTCAACACTGTTGTTTAAATCACCAGAAAATCTGGCAATATTTGCTGATAAGACAAGACAATTCATTTTGATTAAGAAAACAGAGTAGAGGGAAGTACACATATATGTAGTTTTCAAAGCATACCAATGAGTCGAAATATACAAGTAGATATTAAGATCAGTTCTTTTGCTAGTGATTTGTGGCTACTGTGTAATTTCATGTCTTTGCTTTTGTAATGGAGTAGGATAAAGAAGCCGGGGATGATCCAGATATCAAAGATATTCTAAAAGCATGTTGTGGGGATGTAAATTCTGTATAGTCTTTACCTTTCTCATGTGGATTGTGAATTCTGCGTAGTCTGTGGTCACTTGAAAGGAGGCTATAAGAGCCTAGGAAAATATACACATATCCCATTCACATTGTATCGCGGTAGATATGAATGTGCTTCTTTTCTTGATTCAACTGGCTCATGAAGTTTCATGGATGTGAAGAACTATTGTAAGATCTGAGATTTGTAATTAAATTAAAGCAAAACGCAAGCTTAGACTGTCAGTATTGTGTTATTTTTTGATTCGTGTCCTCATTCATACATATGGTTTTTGTGCAACAAATTAAACTTTTCTTTTATGTATATATTTTGATTTTAGGTATCGATTGTGAAATTACCTGTAGGATGACTAAGAATCCCTAGAGGAGGAGGGGAGGGGGGTGAATAGGCCAGTTTAAAATTATAATCAAATAAATAAAAATAAACTTTGGTAGCAGGATTGATATGGCTTATCAATCCTGAAACGTGCATAACATAAAATAAAGGAACACAGAGAATTATTTTACATGGTAAAACCCCACCTTTGGGGAAAATCCACGGGACTCCTCAGTCCAAAACAAATCCACTATAGAATGATGATTACAATAAGCACTCGCACACTTATCCTAGACACATTCTATATAATGCTATAGGGGCTCACTTATCCTAAACACATTCTATATAATGCTATAGGGGTTGTGGTGGGTGAGGGGGTTATGAGAGGGGTTCAATCCCCCTATCCAACAAGTGAGAGAAAATATTGGATTTGAACTTTTTAATGATTGAATGGTTAGATTGAACCCCTTCACCAAAAAAATCCCCCTCATTGTCCACAAAGTGAGGAGAATCTAAATAGTTAGACCCAAGCTTGGAAGCTCAATGTTGATTTTGATTATTTCAAAAACAAAATAGAGTGTTCCTTTTTTTTTTTTTCTTTTCTTTGCTTTTGATTAGGAGAATTATTTAAAAAAAAAATTGAAGAAAACAAAAAGACAGGTATCTTTGAGGTTTCCCCTTCCTTGATGTGTTGGTATAATATGATTCGAAATTTAAATGTCCAGGCTTCGAACCAAGAACAATACTTAAACTAAGAAGAAGAAAGAAAAAAAAAGATGCTTTTCTTCTTTTTGAGATCACAAACAGAGGACAATCTTACATAGTTTATATTTAAAATAACAAAATAAAATAAAAAATAAAAAAGATGCTTTTTTAGTTTCTTTGCTTTGGCTTTTGATTAGGAGCATCATTTAATGATGAAGAAAACAAAGACTGAGGTTTCCCCTTCGTCGATGTGTTGGTATCATATGATTCGAAACTTAAATGCCCAGGCTTTGAACAAGAATATTATACAAACAAATATTGCTTGATTTGCAAGTCTAATATAAGTTCCTTTCTTCCCATCTCTATATAAATCCATAACATGACGTTGAGAGACACATTGCTTTTGAGTAACAGCAGTTCCTGTTGTTTTTGCTGTGTACGTGAACAAACTATAACTAAGATGTCAGAAATTGTTACTTTTGGAGCTGAGGGGATACTGACGAAGGTGGCTTCACTTGCCCAACAAGAATTCAATCTTCTGCGGGGATTCAAAGGAGAACTCACAAGGCTGCGTGAATCATTGTCCACGGTTCAAGCCATGCTACGAGATGCCGAAAAATCACAAGTTCAGGCCGAGTCAGTCAAAAAGTGGGTGAAGGAGCTTGAAGACATAGCTCATGATGCCGATGATGTGTTGGATGAATATGAATATGAAGTTCTCCGGCGTAAGGTAGAAGTGCAAGACCAGATGAAGAAAAAGGTACTCAATTTCTTTTCACTCCACTACAATCCCATTGCATTCCGTCACAAAATGGCAGATAAAATCAAGAAAATCAACTCATCTTTAGTCAATCTGAAGACTGATGCAGCTAGTATTGGTCTAGTTGCAAATTCGACATTCCAAGGTGGAAGCTCTCATGATGCAGGAGTTGACAGGGAAACCGTCTCCAGCTTTGCTCAAGACGAAAAGTACATAAGGGTGAAGGTTGTGTCAGAGATAGTAACAACCTTGATCGACTCAAGCAATACTCAAAAGAATTCTCTCTCGGTTAAGCCCATTGTAGGACTTGCGGGCTTGGGAAAAACAACTTTGGCTAAATCTATATATAATCATGATGAGATAGGCAGACAATTCACTATAAAAATATGGATATGCGTATCTATTCCTTTCGAAGTCAATTCGATTTTAAACAAGATGTTGGTACATTTTAAACAAGAAAAGGCTCAAGAGAAGGAAGCAGCACGCAAAAATCTTCAAGAACATCTGAAAGGAAAAAGATATTTGCTCGTACTCGATGATGTTTGGAACGAAGATCCTGACAAATGGAATGATTTGACGAATTGTTTGTCAAGTGTTAAAGATACCCAAGGAAGCAGCATTCTTGTCACTACCCGTAGTGAGAAGGTTGCAAAAATCGTGCAGACACTTCCTATGTGTAATTTGGGAAAACTATCAGACGATCAATGTTGGCTCATTTTAAAGAACAGAGCATTTCTGGATGACAGTGCTCCTTTGACTAAAGATCAAGAGAGAATTGGAAAGGACATCGCCAGAAAGTGTGAAAATATTGTGTAAGGAGTTCTTTCTATTTTTCTTTCCATTCTAGCATATCTACAATTCAAACGAAGGCTCAAACATACCACTAATTTCACAAGTAAAATGAACAAAATACCACATAATAACAAGGATTATATAAAGAAAAAAATCAGTATGGGCATATACATCAGTAATCCAAATTTACAGAAAAATATTAGTACTATTGTCGATTAGATGAATACCTGTCTGTGGTTGAAAGAAGAAGCTAGAAGGAGATCGAATTAATGTGGCTACCTTTCTGAAAACTGTTTAAAAATTTATTTAACATAACTACACGGAGCCTAGAAACGATCTAGCAATTCCCATAATACCATCCTTTATTTTTAAAAATGACATCGTCTACCACCACCACTCACTACTGGCGGAGCCAGTGCATGCCCAAGTGGGCACTGGCCCCTCTCAAATATTGTTATACATACAATTTTATGTTAGTATATTATACAAATATTATTAAATTCCTCACAAATTCTATAATGGCCACTATTTTCTTTGTTTCTCTTTCATTTTTATGTCTAAATTTCTTTTGAATTGCATGTATTTTGTTATCATAAAAGAGTGATAGGTTATTCATACAAAAAGTAAAGAAAAAAAAATAGAGAAAAGTGATAAAATTAGGGATTTCTTACAAACTAGGTTGATTTGTCATAAAAGAAAGTGTTTGAATTTTTAAGGGTGCCCCCTCTTACTTAAATTCCTAGCTCCGCCACTGCCACCACTATCACTACCTTACCTCCACCCTCATCACCACCACCACCACCAACCCCACCCACCACCTGCG